CACACACACACACACACACACACACACACACACACACACACACACACTGGAGAGGAATTACTGAGGCCCATGGGTGCTGCCTGGGCCATGTCCCTGCACATCCCTCTGGCATCAGGGAAATCTATGCCAGAAAGACTGAACATTCGGAGCTGGGAAACTCCAAGGCCAGGTCCTCCCTGGTAAGCTCCTTACGTGCCCTCACTGGGCCTGCACCCCTCCTTTCACTGAAGTAGGCCTGCACCCCCCTTTCACTGAAGTGAGCCTGCACCCCTCCATTCGCTTTCGCTGAAGTGAGTGCAGAAGGCATTAGGTTAGGAGTTGGGTAATGCCCTTGTTCCTTCTCTGTTGCTGTGATCCATACAATGACCAAAACCAACCGGGGGAAGACTTTGTTACATCGTCTCTGTGGGGAATCAAGATGGAACCTGGAGGCAGGAGCTGATGTAGAGGCTGTGGAGGGTGCTGCTCCCTGGCTTGCTCCCCGTGTTTTGCTGGGCTTATATCTTCTATAACCCAGGACCACCTACCCAGGGATGGCTCCTTCCACAGTGAGCTGGGCCCTTTCACATTTCACAGTTCTCTATCAAGAAAATGCCTCGTATGAAGAGGTGGCTCAGCAGTTAAGAGCACCAGGTGTTCTTCCAAGGGACCTGGGTTCAATTCCCGCATCCATGTGGCAGCTCACAACCATCTGTCACCCCAGTCCCAAGAGATCCAAAGTCTTCTTCTGGATGCTCTGAGCACCAGGTACTCACAAGCTGCACAGGCTTACACTCAAGAAAGACACTCAAATACATTAGATAAAATAACTTTTAAAAATTTTTATGAAACAAAGAAAATATCCTTCAGGCTTGCCTACAGGCCTGTCTGGTGAAGGCGTTTTCTCATTTAAGGGTCCCTCTTACCGGATGACTGTAGGCTTTGTTAAATTGGCAGACAACTACCCAGAACAGATTAGGATTAGTGAGCTTCTAGACAGTGGTTCTCGACCTTCCTAATGCTGAATGCAACCCTTTAATACAGTTCCTCATGTGATGACGCCAACCACAAAATTATCTTATTTCTATAAATATAGTTATTATTTCATAACTGTAATTTTGGTACTGTTAGAATTGTAATGTAAATCTCTAATAAGTAGGATATCTGATATGTGGTCCCCCCCCCCATGGAGTCGTGACCCACAGGTTGAGGACTGCTGCTTTGGGCTAAGGGACAGCACAGCAGGCAGGGCTGTAGTGACTGACACTGACAGCTCTGCCCATCCCAGCAGGCATACATTGCCCTAGCCACAACAAGCCCATAGCATCTTAAATGGCTGGTCACTGACTTCCACAGCCAAGCTGGAGACAGGCAAGCAAGAGGGTTTCTAGCCATGCCACAGTTCAAAGCTGGGGCCACAGCTAGGAGAGTCACCTTTGAACAAAGGCCAATCACCTGTGCTCAGGTGCCAACAAATGCACTTCAAATGCTGAAAAATTGGTCTTTCTGAGCATTTTCTTGGCAACTTAGTCAGATTCCTCAAGTAAGCCAACAGGGGGCAGTGGAGCACAAGAACCAGCTTCATCCCCAGTTTCTCAAAAAGTAAAAGAAAACCCCAGGTCTCCAGGGGCTGCACCTCCTTGTCCCGTTTATACCTTCTGGGAAACTGAAGCCTAGAGGAATGGGGGTGCACACAGGGACAGAGAGTGGAGGGATGGGCTTTGCCACGTGGAACAGGTAGACAGGAGGTAGTGAGTGTATAGGTGGGGCACACAGGTGAGGATGTGTAAATGAGTACACAGGTGGGGTGCACAGGTGGGAGTACACAGGTGGGGTGCACATGTGGGAGTACACAGGTGGGGTGCACAGGTGAATAGGTATGAGTACACAGGTGGGGTGCACAGGTGAGACAAGTAGGTAAGGGTACATGAGTAGGGTACACAGGTGATGCGGACACTAGGCAGAGGCTAAGGCATTCTCCAGACACCTCCAGCCTTACCCCCAGTCACTGTTCTCCCTGCAGAACCTGGTGATGTTCATGAGTGACTTTGTGGACTGGGTGATCCCTGATATTCCCAAAGACATCAGCCAGCAGATCCACAAGGAGAAGGTTCTCATGGTGGAGTTGTTCATGCGTGAGGAGCAGGGCAAGCAGCAGCTACTGGACACATGGATGGAGAAGGAGAAGCCAAGGGATGTGCCTTGTAACAACCATAGTCCCACAGCCTGCCCAGAGGCCGGTGACAGCAGCCCGGTCCCCAGCTACGAGTACCACGGGGGCGCGCTGTAGCCATGATAGCAGGCCAGCAGGCTTCTGACCATCACCAAGTGACCACTCGGTTTCCTCCAGAGCCAGCACCTTTAGCCCCACCAGGGCCTGTGGCTCTTGAGTCGTCTGGATGTGTGGAGGGCCACTCTGATGCAACAACGGTCTTCTTTCTTCTTTCTGTTTCTTCTCATTTTTGCACAAGGCCATTATGCAGGGAAGTTTTTATCTTTAGTATTCAATGCCAAGGATGGCTGGTGACAGGGACATACAGGGTGAGGCATGTTCCACAGACCTATAGGGGAACATACAGCCCCCTCCCCACAGTGGTAAGGAACCAAGGTCCAGAGACAGCATCCTTAGTCTGAAGGATACCCTGGGATAGGTACAGATGTCCAGGAACTTGCTGTCATTTTGCAGAAAGATGAACAACTCTGACACAGATTCCCAAAGATGTCAACTGCTGTAGTTGGACAAGCTGGAAGACTCCACTGTCTTTCCTTCTGGGAGCTCAGAAGTTCAGACCCAGGGTCAGAAACAGGTGCCTGGCCACCCACATAGCACACACACATGGTGGCTTCACATTGTGCTCCAATAACAGAGGAATACAGGGACCCCCAGTTGACTAGCGTCCTCGGCGTCCCTGGCAGGTTCCACACCAGCCACTCAAGGGCCCCTCACATGAAGCTGATGTCCTTGTGAGACAAGCTGTGGTGACAACAGGCTGGAGGGCTTCACCAAGCCCCGGGACTTCATTGTCTTTGCTTTTTTAGACCATCTATCGGTTTGTCTAAAAATCGATAATGCGATGGATTTGAGGGATTTTCTTTCTGTAGCTCAAGGTGGAAGGAGTTTATTTCATTAGTTAACCAAATACTGAGAGGAAATGAAAATATCATTACTACCAAAGATTTTTCTCAATAAAAGCTTCTATTTTGGTAACACACCTATATTTTCACTCACGGGAATATGAGATCCTCAGCACTTACCATTGTAATAACTTCTAATGCGAGCCTCATGGGTCAGCTCGATGTGCTAGCCAGCTGTGCAAGGCCTCCAGCACCATTGCCAGAAGTGTCCGGCCCAAGCTGGAAAAGGCAACTCCCTACACTCGTCTTAGGGCAAGGCACAGTCCTGTGGTCGGCAGTTGGGGTCCGAGTCTTGGGCTTCAGAGGTTTTCTCTGTTTGCTAAAATCGTGAGACTTGATGCTTCTATTTTCTCTTGTGCAGTGATGTGGTTTCCGATGATGTTTTGTATATAGCTACTGTATCCAAAATTAGATAATTCCAAAAATTCTTTTACAGAAACCATTTTTTAAAAAAAATAAAACAAAACCGAATGTATACACACCCACAGGAGACTGTGGCTGAGCGTTCATCAAAATAAATTTGAATACACAACCCTAGCCTCTCCTGACTGTTCTTCTCCCAACCTGCTCCTGTCCCCAAGATCCCTGATGAGCCCTGTGGTTAATACATCAGATTTGAAAACGACTGTCCTGAGAACATTCAAGAACATTCATTTCTTCTGTGGCAGGTATCTGAATTTTTCTTTTTTTTTTGTTTTTTTGGTTTTGTTTTTTTGTTTTTTGTTTTTTGTTTTTCGAGACAGGGTTTTTCTGTGTAGCCCTGGCTGTCCTGGAACTCACTCTGTAGACCAGGCTAGCCTCGAACTCTCGAACTCAGAAATCCGCCTGCCAAGTACTGGGATTAAAGGCGTGCGCCACCACCGCCCGGCTCTGAATTTTTCTAGATGGTCCTGGGATGCCATCTCCCTGTTCTATGTGTGGGGGCTGTGTGAATGTTTGTGTGTGCCTCTGAACATGTGTATACTCGTGGTGCTCATGTATGCCTGCATGTGTTTGTGTCTCCATGCTCATGTCTGCATATGTACACATGCATATGCGTACCTGTGCATGCACCCAGTATGTGTGCATACCGATATGCTTGAAAATGCCTTGTGTATCACTCGCCTCCATCTGCATGCTTTGGTATGTGGGTGTGTTTATACACACTCCAAACAGGCATTTGTGTGTTTGCATCACGCGTGCATATGCGTGTATCTGTATATGTATGCATTCATGTGTCTGTGTGCAGATGTATGTTTGGGTATGGACAGGTGCACTTGATCCTGCTGTTCGTGAGCTATGCTCCAGTGGAGATTACAGTCGTTCTGTTCTTTAGCCACTTGTCCCACCGCCTCACAGCTAAGGCACCATCCACAACCCAGCACACTGGAATCAGCATCACACATTGTCCCAAAATCCCATGGGGAGTAACTTTGTGGGGCCAGTGTATTTGAGTGAGGACATTAAAGACCTGTCACCCATATTTACCATAATTTCATAAAACAAAAGCTCTTTTCAACACCCCAAATGCCAGTAAAGTAATAAGCCCCTTAGCTGTGGAGTCTGCACACCACCTGGCCCTGGAACCTCCCCAGAGCAGCGGCGGCCTCTGGTGCCCCCTACTGTTGGCACTCCTACACACACCCTGTAGAAAGCTGCAGCTCCTGATCTAACCCTGCCCTAGCCAGTGGGCCTGGTGGCATGTACACCTTTAATCCCAGCTCTCAGAAGACAGTGACAGGTGGACCTCTGTGAGTTCAGGCCATCCAAGCTACATAGTGAGACTCTGCCTTGAAAAAGAAAACTCTGTCTAAGCCCTGGAACACTTCTTCTCGTCTGTAAGATCCAGAGAGGACATCAGCACAGTTAGCATTGCAGGGTCCCTCTTCTGAAGCCCACTAGGGTACAGAGTAAGGGTCTAGAGCTGCACTTCATGCATAAGGTCTCAGGCCCCTTACTAGCTCTGAAGCAGAGGTCTCCTAACAGAGCCTCCTCCCCACCCTGAAGAACTGAAATAGCATTTGCAGGGACAGAGTGGACATGCTCCCTCCCTCTGGATGGCACTACAGAGGGTGTCATGTGTGCTGTCTCAGAAGATGAGACCCACAACCATATAATCCCACAAAGAAGCATGAAATTGTTGGCGGGGGGAGGGGTTGGAAAGGAAGAACATGTGCAAAGGTCCTGAGGTGGCCTTGAGGTGCCTGGTGAGTTCTGGGGTGGGAGAGGCAAGGAGGTGGTAAGTTAGCAGGGAGGACAGAAGACCAGGACTGACCCAAGAAGGGCTCTCTGGCGTCATGGAGACTGAACATGATAGCCTGGGCTATAGGAAGAGGAGGATATAACACATCAGTGGGGTTTGGTTAACATTAGGTATTCATGCAATGGCTGAGGGGGAAAATAGTGAAAGGGACCAAATAGAGGGTTGCAGGCAGGCCTACAATAAGCCTAGCATCAGGTGGATGGAATATGGTTAATATTGCCACAAAAGCCCAGGACCTGGTGACAAAAAAGCACCCCAGACAGCCAGGGGTATTATTTTAGATAAGATTGTAGAGGCTCAGAGAAGGCTGCTTTCACCCATCAAGCTGGCTGGAAGACTATCTCTTCAAACTGGAACCTGGTACCTAGCCTTGGACATTTTTACCATTGTAAGGGCTTCGTGGATGAAGCAGGGTAGGGAAGGCCCTAGGTCTGCAACTTCTGTCTGTTGTTTATATTCTGTCTGTTGATTATATTTTATTTTTAATTGCATATATATATGAGAGAATGTAGGTATATGCACCTTAGTGCAGATAACTTCAGAGGCCAGAAGTGGGTGTCAAGTCCCATGGAGTTGGAGCCTCCTGATGTAAATGCTGTGGTTGATCTTGGGTTCCCCGGAAGAGCAGCAAATGAACCTAACCACTGAGCCAACTCTCTGGTCCCAAGTTCTGCAAGTCATACTAGGTGCATAACGAGTCACATCAAATCACAGGGACGGTGTTTGCGGCCGGCTGCTTCCAAAGGTGGCGTCTGTCCTGGTTATAAGGCAGCTCCACTTGATTTACATCATTGGCTCACTTTTTACCTGCTTCTAAATTTCCCTAAATAAAATGGAAATCTGCATTTAAATGTCCACATTTGTCCAGGCCTGATAATTCATGCCTGTAATCCCAGCACTCAGGTTCACGCTAGGTCTCGGAAGCAGAACACTATGGCTCCTCTGAAGCCTCTATCCCTTCATGTCCCTTCCTCAGCAGCCTCTTCACTGACCAGCATGCTGACGCCAAGCCAAGACAGGCACTGCTGGCCTCTTTCTGTTGGTGGCTGCTGCCCTCTGCTGGCAACTCAGGGATCTGCACTCAGGGAGCATAAACCATATCCTTTGTGCAAACGATGCTGCTAACAGAAGCCACACATTTCCTAAAGCTTCAGATCCCAAGGGGACTCTGTAGACTGAGTTCCAGGTTGGTACAGACACACCCAGTCTGCAAAATCCAAGGCAGAACTGTGGTGCCGGCCTTGACCTCAGCCCTCCTCTTCAGGGCTCCTTAGTTCCTTGAGTGTACTAGCCCAAATGGGTCCTCTGAGGCACACCAGGCAGATCTCCCAACCTGGGACCTTATCTTCACTACATCTACGGAATCCTTTTCACTTAGCAGCCCTCCATGGCCTCCATCCAGGGGCCAGGACTAAGCCTGTGTGTCACAGGTTGAGAATTAAGACCCAGGTGTCAGCTGGGCGGTGGTGGCGCACACCTTTAATCCCAGCACTTGGGAGGCAGAGGCAGGCGGATTTCTGAGTTCAAGAGTTCGAGGCTAGCCTGGTCTACAGCCTGAGTTCCAGGACTGCCAGGACTACATAGAGAAACCCTGTCTCGAAAAACCAAATTAAAAAAAAAAAAAAAAAACAGGTGTCGAAGAGAAGGCCTCTACAACACTTCCCTTCCTGTCAATGGAAGCACCATGTTCCCTGCTGGGCATGGCAGGTGCACACCGTTAGTCCCAGCACTCTAGAGGCAGAGGCAAGTGGGTCTCTGTGAGTACAGGCCACCCAGAGGTACAAAGTGAGACCCAGCCTCAAACAAACAAAACAACAGCAACAACAACAAAAACCTCCACAAGGAAATGACAGAGCTGAGGAAACCTCCCACCTGACATTAGTGGAGCAACAACAACACAAGAGAGAGAAAAAACCAAGAAACTTGGAGACAGACAACCCTAGAGTGGAAGGCAATAACTCTGACCATCGTCAGCACAAACAAGGCTGAGTTTACCTCCATGAAACCAGTAAGGGGTGCTCAAGTCCTTCCTGCTCTCTCTCTCCTTCCTCCTGTTTCTCTCCTCCCTCTCCCTCCCTTTGTTCTTTCTTCCTTCTTTCCTCCTCCTCCCATCCTGCCTCCCATCCACCCCTCTTTTTTTTCAAAGATGCATTTATTTATTTTATGTATGTGAGTACACTGTCGCTGTCTTCAGACACACCAGAAGAGGGCATCAGATCCCATTACAGATGGTTGTGAGCTGCCATGTGGTTGCTGGGAATTGAACTCAGGACCTCTGGAAGAGCAGCTGGTGCTCTCAACTGCTGAGACATCTCTCCAGCCCCACTCCTTTTTCTTTCTCTTCCTTTCTTCTTCTTCTTTTTTTTAACCAGGACTAAATACATGGCCTTTATTTCTTCCAGATCAAAGATTTTGGGTATAATCAGATAAAGATGAACAATCAAGTTTTGCAACCTAAAATATTTACTTCTGAAAACTATATTACTGCTTTAGTAAACTATACAAAAAAGATAAGGAGACAAACATGTACATTTATAGAATGGCATATCAGTCAGGCCAGACCCTGCAGAGGGAATTCCCAGCATGACCTCATTCATCTGTGAGGACACAGAGCAATCCTTGTTTGCACATACACCATCTCCTCCTGCGTGAGCCGCTCTTCACCTCCTGATGACTTCCTCTACGCATGTGTATGTCTAGTTGTCTGCTTCTCAGAGCAGACGTTTACCTTCCTCATCCACCAGCCATCAGAGGAGGGCTGGGGCCACGAAGGTGACTGACCCGACGCATTCTTCGTGGAGGGTTTCCTGGTGGCCCTCTGCCATCATTGTATCTGGAATCAGAGGGGCTCCCGTAGCCTTGTCTTTTCTTCACATCTTGCTGAAGCAGAGTTTTGGAAAAAAAAAAAAACAGGAATTCTGCTATTCCCCAGAAGAAATCTGTTATGAAAGACAGTCTCCATGGAGACTGATTCTGGCTGTCCAACACTTGACCATTCAAGATGTAAACCATCTTCCCTCCGGTTGCCCGCTTCCTAGTGACAGAGAAGACTGGATACCCTGTTGTTGCTGTACCTAGCCTCCCCCCTTTCTTTACTTTTTTTATTTTTTGTTTGTTTGTTTATTTTGGTTTAAACAGGATTTCTCTGTGTAGCCCTGGCTGACCTAGAATTCACTCTGTAGACCAGGCTAGCCTCTGCTTCCTGAATGCTGGGATTAAAGGCATGTACCACCACAGCTGGCTCTCTTCCTTCCTTTTTGTGTCTGCTGGGATGGCCTCCAGCTCATCTTGGTTTAGAAACGTTCAGTGTCCCTTCCTCACGAGGACCTTCTTTCTGGACACCTTGCTCTCCTTGCTGTGGGGGCAGCCGGTGTGGACTACCATTCGTACATGGCCGAAGACTAAGGATTGCATATGCCCTGGGCATTTCACAGCCGTGAGGTGGGGACCTGGCTCTTCAATGCCCTGCTTCTGTTTCCTATTCTCTTCTGTTTTTGTTTTGTTTTGTTTTGTTTTTTCGAGACAGGGTTTCTCTGTGTAGCCCTGGCTGTCCTGGAACTCTGTAGACCAGGCTGGCCTCGAACTCAGAAATCCACCTGCCTCTGCCTCCCAAGTGCTGGGATTAAAAGCATGTGCCATCACTGCCCAGCTCCTATTCTCTTCTGAACAGGAACAGCAAAGGTCCTTTTTGAGAGGCATGCTCTGGTCGCCACCACCAGAAAGGTTCCTCCCTCCTTTATTAGCACAATAAAAAGAAAAACACATGCCCCTGATTTCACCAAAATTATGAACTTTTTGATTGCAGGATCTTATGTGCAGACTGAAAAAGTAGTGCACGTGGTGTGGGGTGTTTACAGAACACATATCTAACGTGAGATTGACACCCAGAACAACGAGTAAACTGGACCTGGTGTACACCTCCAATCCCAGTATCTGGGAGGTGGAGGCAGGAGGATCAGAAGCCTAAGGGCCATCCTGAGCTACATGGTGCAAAGGGGAGTAGTTCCCGAGCAGCCTGAGCAATATGAGCTCCTGTCTCAAAACAAACTACCATAGAGGAAAACCTACAGACTCGACACACTCAATGCAGTGTCTCTCCAGGGAACCCCAGACTTTCAAAAGTGGATTCTGACTGTTGAGGTCTCCAGCTTCCAGGATTAGGAACCTGGTTCTCTGCGTGTACAGGGTGCAGATTCTCAGCCCCTCGAGTAAGTCAGCCCAATAAATCTGTTTCTAATGGTTCTGCTCCTCTAACGAGCCTTCCCCACCTAGTAAAAATATGTTTGTTTGGTTTGTCGTTTGCACATTACTGTAGTGCCCAGCAGAGAGCCTCTGATTCCCATCTGTAGTTACAAACAGTTGTAAGCAGCTCTGAGGTCCAGCGCTCTTAAGCCCTGAGCCACCTTTCCAGCCCCCATTTGTCATTCTATACAGCCTGGGCTACATAGTGAGACCCTGTCTCAAAAAACAACCAAAGCACCAAACTTTAAATGGACGAATTATAAGTCAATTTATAAGAAATGTGAGCCAACTCTGCTGGGTATGTTGTGCACAGTTGGGTCTCACTAACCCAGGAGCTCAGCCACTCAGCTAGAGTCACTGAGCAGCAGGAATCCACCTGTCTCTGCCAGAGTTGAGGTTACAGATGGGCACCACCTTGTGGCTTTTATGTGAACACCAGGATCTGAACTCCAGTCCTCCCTTGTGTAGCAGCTCATACACAGTATTTTTAACTTAGACGAAGTACTTGTGCGTGGCTGTGGAATCACAGTGAATTGTTAATGTAGCATTTCTACAATCCCTGTCACGCATCAACTTTTTCTGATAATAATATTCCAGATCCTCTCTTCTACTGAGTTTAATATACACATTATTGGGCCAGTGAAATGGCTCAGCGGTTAAAAACACTATGTTGCTTCAGGGAGAACCTGGACTCACTCAGAAGCTCACATGCAAACGGAACTCTAGTCCCGGAGGATCACGCTCTTTTCTGTCCTCCATGGGCACTGAACGCCAGTGGGACACTAAACCACCTACTACAACTGCTCATACACGAAAGAAAAGACACGTAATGTGTTTTTTTTATATGTACGAGTATTTTGTCAGCATACCACATGTGTGCTTGACAGAAGAGGGTGTCAAACCCCCTGGAACTGGAATTACAGATGGTTGTAAGCCCTCATATGAGTGCTGGAAATTGCCAGTGCTCTTAACCCCTGAACCGTCTCTCCAGACCATAAGTAAATCTATCTATCTTCCTCCCTCCCTCCCTCCAACCCTCCCTCCCTCTTTCTTTCTTTCTTACTCTCTTCTTTCTCTTTTAATGGTGATAGAACGTTATCTGGCCGCAGTAAGCATCTGCAGCTGCCCTCCCAGCCTCGCACATAGTAGGGAGGCACAGCTCCTCAGAGCCCCAAGAGCATCCACTGTACACTTCTGGCGAACAAGATCTGTTCCGCGCCGGGAGGAGAAACATCACGCGCAAGCGCTGAAGCCAACGCGGCTCAGCGGGCGAAGCTACTGCAACAGCGGATGCCAGCCCTGGCGGAAGAGGGTACGGCCACACCCGAGGCGCATGCGTCGGATTTGGACTTCCCGCGAGACGCTGGGCGGGAAAGCCTAAGGCGATTTCCTATGTGGAATCACTGAGGGGAAGCCCTGAGTACCACTGCCATGGACCCATTCCTGGTGCTGCTGCACTCGCTGTCCGGCAGCCTGTCGGGCAGCGATCTGATGGAGCTCAAGTTCCTGTGCCGCGAGCGCGTGAGCAAACGAAAGCTGGAGCGCGTGCAGAGTGGCCTGGACCTGTTCTCGGTGCTGCTGGAGCAGAAAGACCTGGAGCGCGAGAGCACCGGGCTGCTACGCGAGTTGCTGGCCTCGCTGCGCAGACACGACCTACTGCAGCGCCTGGACGACTTCGAGGCGGGGGCGGCGGCCACTGCAGCCCCGGGGGAGGCAGGTGGGCTGGGGGCGGGAGGAGGCCGGGGAATGGGCGGGGAAACCTGGCCTCAGGGCATCCTCTGCTTGCTCCGATTGGGACGGACTCTAGGGCACGCCCACTTTTTTTTCGGACGTGCGAGCCAGAATTTGGGAGGTGGTGTTTCCTACCTGCAAGTGCGGAGGTTGAACCCAGATTATTGCTCGTGCCAAACAGGCATTCTCCTACTACTTGCCCAACCCCAAGATTAACTCGCATCAAACCTGCAGTGCTTGGTTGGAAAACTCAGCTAAGAAATGGATGTGGTTAAGGGATCACTCACTAGGGTAGCGTTGAAGAGTGGGCAGAGGTCACGTGTGCCTGCTGCTCGGCACCATTTCCGTAGTGGGAGTGTCTGTGTCCAAGTAGTGCCCGCCCTTCCTGACCAAAAGACTGCGTGGCGGTCGAGCTCTCTGGTCCAGAGTGCAGTGTCTGGTTATCTACATTTACTTTTGTTTTACAGAGGAGGCGCTATGCCTTCCCATAACGCACAGTGGATAGCAGCCACAACTGAGCAAGGCCTTGGGGTGTAGATACAGGTTAAGCATATATATTAGACACTTTAAAACTTGTGACAAATACTCGAGACGCCATTTAAAGAGGCAAAGGTTTCTTGGTTTTTTTTTTTTTGTTTGTTTCTTGTTTTTTTTTTTTGGTTTTTTGGTTTTTTGATACAGGGTTTCTCTGTGTAGCCCTGGCTGTCCTGGAACGGACTCTGTAGACCAGGCTGGCCTCGAACTCAGAAATCCGCCTGCCTCTGCCTCCCAAGTGCTGGGATTAAAGGCGTGCGCCACCACCGCCCAGCAGTGGAGCAAAGGTTTCTTTAGCTCCTGCTTGGTTGTCTCTGTAGCTCTTGGTCTGCAGTAAAGCAGGAAATCAAAGCAGCTGGAGGGTATGTGGACCAAAGGTGGTTACCTCATGGCTGTCAGGCTGAGTAGCAAAATTACTGGAGGGAGCTTGGGACAAAATACACTCCCCAGCTTTACAGCCTTTGTACTTCCTTACTACCTCTGAGTAGGCTCTCTTAAGGTTTCCACCACCTCCCAGTAACACTCTCAGATTATGAATCAGTGGGCTGATCCACTGGGGAGTTCAGGGCTATCATGACCCCCTCTCCTTTCTACAGTTGGATCCTCCACTGAGGGGCTAAACCTTCCTCCTTAGGAGCCTTTGGGAAGATACATCATACCATGACCATAGGGGTTGCCATAGTCAAAAGCTCTGCTAAGATCAGACCTCCAGTACTGACACCACATGCTGTGACAGTCTGTTTCAGGCACAGAACTATTTGAAACAGATGTTTCCACTGCCGATGTGTACAAGATACACAAGAAAATGGGTTGTGTATTCACACCCCCACGGCATTCGAGTGTTTGGTATTATTACAGGGATCCAATAAGGAGTTCTGAGCTCCCTACAGAGATGACACCTTGCTTCTGTCTAGCAGGGGCTCCAGAGTATGGCAGGGATAGGCCTTTCATGGTCTCCAGTCAAACCAGCAAAGGTCATAGTGAATGTAGTTTTGGGGACTTTGGCCAACCCACTATTGAGTACGGTGTTAGGGCAACCCTGTGTTTTTCCCTCTGGCACTCCAGCCCTCCTCAGTTTCCAGTCTTCTAAGCCATAGCTCTCTGTGGCCCAGGCTGAAGGAGTGTGGCTGGCAGGTCAGGAGGCCACTGTGGGTCTCTTGAAGTACCTCCTGAGCTACTGGATGTCTCTGCCTGCACAGAACCTGACTGGCTTTAGTGATGTTGCCTTCGAAATGCTCAGGTCCATGCTTAGTGGCCCATGGAGAGACTTGCCCCAGCTCTTCAGTCAAGTCATGCTGCTGTTTTCCTTCCTAGATCTGCGGGTGGCATTTGACATTGTGTGTGACAATGTGGGGAGAGACTGGAAAAGACTGGCCCGCCAGCTGAAGGTGTCTGAGGCCAAGATTGATGGGATTGAGGAGAGGTACCCCCGAAGCCTGAGCGAGCAGGTAAGGGAGGCTCTGAGGGTCTGGAAGAATGCCGAGAGGGAGAATGCCTCGGTGGCCAGACTGGTCAAGGCGCTGCGGGCCTGCAAGCTGAACCTGGTGGCTGACCTGGTGGAGGAAGCACTGATGGCCCAGGGATCTGTGAGCAAGAGCGAGGATATGTCCCCAATGCTGAGGGACTCAACTGTGTCTTCCTCAGAAACACCCTGACAAGCCTGCAGCTCCTCTCAGGAGTCGACTGTGGACTTCATCACACCATGATCTAGTACCAAGTGCCTTTTGTGCCCGGTACCAAGAAGACCTTGCTGATCCAGGCCGAGAGCCCCTCACACCAGCTCCTGAATTATGGAGCCTCTGCCCCCTGGGCTTTGGGGACACATGAAAGTTCTCCTTTGTGTTCTCCACCACTGCTCCTTCCTCCCGAGAGGTCCCTGGTCTTGCGAGGAGGAAGTTAAAGCTAATGGCACATGCGCTGACTGCAGTTTGAGAGCCTTCCTGTTGTTCCTTGGGGGAAGACACCGACTCAGTTCAGAGCACTTGGCTACCTCACAGTTGGCCAAGAGGACATCTGTCTCATATCCTGGGAGGCCATCAGAGAGCAGCTCTTGACCCCCGAACAAGCGCAGGAGCCCTGTGAGGACTGATGGTAAAGTTCACCACCAAAGTCACTGGCTCTGTGAAGGACTGGTTTAAAGGGCAGCACCCTGCCTCCATGGTGCTCTGTAAGCAAGTGCCCTGGACCTAGAGGTAGTGGCTCACTCTGAAGTCCTAGCACTTGAGAGTTGAGAACTGCTGCGCTTTACTGCAGCCTGGGCTACAATGAGACCTTTTCTCAAAAATACAAAAGCAAGTGCCTTTACCTGGAGATAACTGTGTCACCAGGAAATTCCATTATATCAAGGACCCTTCTAATCTCAGAAGTCCCAGCAGGCTGACTACAGAGTGCTTACAGCCCTGGGTCCTACTTGTGAATGGAGTGATGTGATTTCCTGCTTTTCACACCAGCAGGGGCCCTGTCTGCCACACTGGGTACCCAAATAAACCATTCCTTGTCTCAGCTTTCCAACCTTTGGCTGGGTGTGGTTATACAGTCCTTTGATCTTAGCTTTTTAGGAAGGTAGAAGCAGGTGGGTCTCTGTGATCTATGAGTTCAGGGACAGCCTAGCCTACATAGAGAACTACAGGCCAGCTGACACTAAGTAGAAAGACCATATCTCAGATAAATAAAAGTTCATGTCTGGAGAAGAGGATCCTAGTCACAGCTTCTCCTGACACAGTGAAGAGCTGTACCTCATGGTCCTAACCTAGTCTTGGCTTCACAAGTGACCAGCCTGGGGCTTATGCTACTGATCAGTCATTTCCTGGCACTCGGGTTCTATGCCCTCATTTCCTCCTCTCTGCTCTGCCTATGCACCAGACAGCTGACTCCTCAATATACTTGGGCTCTCCTCAACCCCCTTCCCCATTGTTGGTCCCTTCACTCCTGCATTCCTTGGGTTGCACCCTCCGCAGCCTCAAGCCTACCATGTTCTTCAGCCCAGTGTCTACCCATCTGGCTGTTCTGCTCAAATTCTTGGCCATTGAGGCCTCCTGACCCCTCTGGGACTCATCCTGTTTTCTCTGACCGCGGTATTCTTGGCTCCCTAGACTACATGTACGCCTGTATAAGATGTCTGGTGGGTGTCTGCTTTCGTTCTCTGCCCCTCCCCCTTTCCCCATTTTGAAGGGTTTTGATTTAAGACACAGTTTCCTGTAACCCAGGTATAACCTAAGTTGGCCTCAAGCTCACAGTGTAACTGAAGTGAACTTGAGCTCCTTTCTGATCATCCTGCCTCTGCTTCTCAAGTGTTGTGATCACCAGTGTGGCAACTTCACTCAGACCCAAGTCTTCAGAGCTCATGCTCTAGAAAGCCTGGGCAACTGTACTGAAACTCTTGCTGATGCCTTTTTAACCGCCCTGTGGCAAGTCACAGGTCGATGGGCTTACATGGCTCGTTTTTTTTGTACCGCTCAGGAGTCCAAAGTGGCTCTCCAGAGTTCAGCTCAGATATGAGCAAGCTGGTTTCTTTCTAGATTTAAGAGAGTGTTCCTTCATTGTGTCACTTGCTGTATCCCCCTCTTCAAGTGGCAGTACTGAGTCTCAATTACTACTGTTGCAGGGCTTTTAGGCCACCAGAGAAATTTATCCCTTTGTACAAAGTCCTTCTTGCCATATTGGGGATTAAAACAGGGCACATTCAGAATGAGCACCCCACAAATCTCTGCATCTCGCTGAACTTGTGCCCAGTTTTGCCCTGAACACCTCAGCATAAATTCCTCCTGCTGCTAATAATGGCTGCTCAGAGCTCCACACCTCACAGTTGACTCTCCTGGCCACCTTGCCTGCCCTTCACTCCTTAGCTCCCGTCAGGGTCTTGGCTCTGCCTATCCTCCACCAAGGGCTGGAACTGCAGACCCGCCTGTTCCTCGAAGCCAGCCGCCCTGCATATTTTTAGCTTCCTATTTTTGAATTCCACAATCATTTCTGAGTCATTCAACTGACTGCCTTCTGGTCACAAGGCCCCAGTGTGAGCTGTGTTTCAAATCAGACAGTAGAACATGATGTGATGGAATGTGTGATATATCCACCATGGACCATGGCCCTCCAGGAGCTGATGGGAAGCAGTGCTGGTTTGCTGGAAGATGTGGGACACCCACAGAATCTTGAGTCATGTGCCGAGTGGATGCTTGCCTGAGGGATATCTGCCAGCCATGGGACTCATTGTCACCAAGGCATTGCTGAGCCAAAGCCAAATAACAGTGCTGCAGTGTTTTAGGTGTGGCTAGAACAGGGCAGCATGGTAGGCATGCATGTGGAGGTCTACAGCTTTTTGAGGTCCCAAGCCTCGATGGACTATAAAGATGAGGTCTGGTCCCTGTCCATCAAAATAAGATAAGCATATTGGCTCATACCTGTAATCCCAACACTAGAGACTGAGGCAGGAGGGTCACTGCATGTTAAGACCACCCTGGGCTAAATAGGCCTTATCTCAAACAAAAATGGCTGGTGAATCATGGTGTATACACCTGTAATCCCCGCATATGGGAGGGTCTGTTCGAGGCAGTGTCTCTTAGTGATCCAAGTCCGGTCTAAGCTACATAAGACCCTATCTCAACAACACGCCAACCCCACTGCCAAAACAAAAGCCACACTGCATATTTAGGTAGGAACAGGATTCCTGTAGAGTGCAGAAGACAGTCCCTGTGCTCAGTGGTGCCTGTAGCAGATCAACTCCCAACACCTCAAGTTCCTGAACTTGGTGATAAATGTAGGTGCACTCCTAATTACATTGTTAATTTAAATTCTATTACTTTGGCAGGCTTCTTGTTTATTCTTTTATTCTTGGTCACAAGGTCTAGGAGATGATTCTCTGCCCAGTTTTGTATGTGGCAGAGGTCTACTGTTAATAAAAGCCTGGGACAGTGGCACTTTTTCCAGTGGGTCTCCAGGCTAGAGGCAGCAGGACACGGGCAGTGCCCTCCAGGTGAGGTCCTCTCCTTCCCTTGCTTATAGCTAAGCCCCAGCTGAAACTGCCACCAATTTGACCAGACCCACAGCTGGCCTTTACCCTACTACCCTGTGTCCTTGAGAGGCCTACTCAGGCTCTTGTTACCTGAAGTAACTCAACTCAGGGTAGAGTTTTTGTGCTTATAAGCTACCCTGAAAAAGCTTGGGGCTACTCTGGGATTCCAAACACCCAGTGTAGTTACTGGCCAGGTAATAAAGACTCTCTATTGACTTAACCCTGTGTCCTAGTTGTCTTCTCTTGTACATACCCCACACTGATGCTTACCAGTCACTGTAGGCTGTGTGCTTCATTCATTCTCAGCAGTGGGCTTGCTGCTTAGACACTGCCCTCGAGCCTGGGACCCACGCTCAGCAGCCTCAGCTTCCTATTGCAAAGGCCCACCCTCTCAGGACTGCTGTGGCACTAGGTTCCCATACATTTTAAGACTACAGGCAAGCCAGTTGTGATTTGTAGAATCTCAGCACTCAGGAGGTTTAAACAGAAGAATCTAGACCAGCCTGTGGGGTGTGTGAGATCCTGTGTGTGGCTCACACCTGTGACCACAACACCTGGTAGGCTGAGACAGGAGGAGTGATACAAGTTCAGACCTATAAAGACCCTCTTTAAAAAAGGGGGGGGAGGGAGGGAGGCTGGAGAGATGGCTCAGCCGTTAAGAGCACTGATTGCTCTTCCAGAGGTCCTGAGTTCAATTTCCAGCAACCACGTGGTGGCTCACAACCATCTGTAATGGGAATCTGATGCACTCTTCTGGTGTGTCTGAAAACAGCAACAGTGTATTCACATACATAAATAAATCTTTAGAAAATAAGGGCATAGATATAGCTCAGTAAAGTTCTAGCCTAGCATACACAAAGCTCCAGGTTGCAGTCCAAGCACTTCATAAACCAGGCATGGCTTCGCAGTGGCCACAGACTACTTCTGCCTAGCAGCCTTCATTGAGGGAACATGCTGAGACCATGCCAACTCCAGGGGACCATGCTTCTGCACCTAGGAGGCCTTACCCGAGGCACCACTCCAGACAGTATACCCAGCCCAAGCCTGGATGAACTTTCACTTACTGTGGGCATCTTCAGCCCTCGGAAACCTGATTGGTGTGGATACATGCTTCATTTGCATAGTACATTCTTTCCACAGCACGCATCTTTGTTGCTTTTTGGTGTTGCAACATTAGACCCAATAAAAGGCTTTTCCCAGGCAACAGGGGGCCCAGGCAAGAGGCTGGTTACTGCAGGTTCCTGGGAGTTGCCAGTCCTTGAAGGATGTGTGCACCCAGAGTTCAGGAGCTGTATAGAACAGCCACTGTGTATGCTGCTGTTGTGGCTGTAAGCCTGTGTAACCTGTGGCCCTAGGAAGCATGTTCAACTTACAGCCCATGAGGGGCATGCCAAGATGTATTATTGTGTATGTGGGCCTCTCTCTCTCTCTCTCTCTCTCTCTCTCTCTCTCTCTTTAAGATTTATTTATTTTATGTATATGAGTACACGGTCACTGTCTTTTAGACACACCAGAAGAGGTCACCAGACCACATTACAGATGGTTGTGAGCTACCATGTGGTTCCTGGGAATTGAACTCAGGACCTCTGGGAATTGAACTCAGGACCTCTGGAAGAGTAATCGATGCTCTAACTGCTGAGCCATCCCTCCAGCCCATCTACGGACGTTTCTGACCCAGTGCAGATGACGGTTAATGGAGTTTATTTTCTTTTTTCCATCTTTTTATTTGTTCTGGGGATAGTACTCAGGTTGCCATGCTTGCATACATAGCAAGCACCTTTACCGCTGAGCCGTCTCACCTGCCCTGAGGATTATTTTCTTGATTTGTTTTGTTGTTGTTGTTGTTTTTTGTAACTTGATTACAATTTTGAGGTGAACTTTGGAAATAACATCTTCCTTGGACGTCTGAAGGTTGGACATCCACTGTCACTCCTAGCCATCAGTCTCTGTCTCTGAGGCTTGCCATCATCCCTGTCTAGTTCCCAGGGCTTGGAGCTACAAGCCTGTTCTGGTAGCACTGTCCTAGCCTTCAACCCTCTGGACCAGGACTACCAACATCAGAAGGTCTGCTCACCCCACCTGAGCGCTCCATTCTACAGCCTTCTGGCCAGTGAGTCTGCTGGGGAGATCATGCTTGTGTTCTTCAAGTACTTCTCTAGCTTCAGGCTGGGCTTCAGGGAACAAGAGGGGGCATAGAGGCAGTGAGAAGCAACTGTGGTAGCTATGGGGACAGTGGTGGGAGGAGGGCTTAGGCAGTGTGCAGGGATAGCAGCAGGGAGCAGTCTGGGGAGCCTTACAGGCTTGGCACAGGGGTTGGGCACAGAAGGGATGCTAGGCTAGGGATCCAGTGTTCTATAAGAAAGCAGGCTGAGCTGGGTGGTGGTGGCGCACGCCTTTAATCCCAGCACTTGGGAGGCAGAGGCAGGTGGATTTCTGAGTTCGAGATTTCGAGGCTAGCCTGGTCTACAGAGTGAGTTCCAGGACAGCCAGGGATACACAGAGAAACCCTGTCTCGAAAAAAAAAAAAAAAAAAAAAAAAAAAAGAAAGCAGGCTGAACAAGCCATGGAAAGCAAGCCAGTAAGCAGCGCCCCCTTTACGCTTCTGCATCAGCTCCTGCCTCCAGGGTCCTGTCCTGTTTTGAGTTCCTGTCCTGACTTCCTTCAGTGATGAATTATGGTCTGGAAGTGTAAGCAAAAGAAACCATTTACCCCAACTTGCTTTTGGCCATGGTGCTTCATCCTACCAATAGTAACCCTGACTAAGACAGACCCTGACTCCAGAGAAAGAAACATTTTAATAATAATAATATTAATAAATAATAATGCAAAGATCACTTTCTTCATTTTGTTATTTTTTAAAGTTTTTATTACATTTTATTTTTGCGATGGGGTGGGGGCAGACTGACGCATGATGTATGGATGGAGTTCAGAGGAACTTGCAGGAATTGGTTCTCTGCTTCCACCTTGTGTGTCCAACGGATTGAACTTGTGATTTAAGTAATCAAGATAATTACTGATGGGCAGTGGTGGCTCACGCCTTTAATCCCAGCACTTGAGAGGCAGAGGCAGGCGGATTTCTGAGTTCGAGGCCAGCCTGGTCTACAGAGTGAGTTCCAAGACAGCCAGGGCTACACAGAGAAACACTGTCTCGAAAAAACAAACAAAAAAAAAAAGATAATTACCACAGGCTGCTTATACTCCACTTCCCAGTTGATCTGGGATCTGTCAAGTTGACAGTTCACATTAACCATCACAGTTGGATTTCATAAGATTAGCAGAAGTTCTCCAGAAGGCAAACAGTTCAGTCCTAGGAACCAGTGATGGGAAAGGCCAAGGGAGTGAAGCTGGCCTCAGACAGGGGATTGGGAATTGAAGACTAGCCTAGGCCATATCCAAACTACCACCCTCATACACACACCCCACCAAACAAGAAAAAGCTGTGTGGTGGCACACACTGGGGTCAGGAGGTAAAGGCAGGAAGATCAGTGTTCAAGGCCAGTCTCAGCCACCTAGAGTTCCAAGCCAGCATGAACTTCAGGAGACCTTGGCTCAAAGAAACAGGAGCCAGGCGTGGTGGTGCACACCTTTAATCCCAGCACTCAAGAAGCAGAGGCAGGCAGATCGCTGAGTTCTGGAAAGAAAGGACTGGAAAGGAAGAAGAAAGGGAAGGAAGGAAGGGAGGAAAGAGAGGGAAAAGTAAGGGAAGGTAAGAGGAAAGGAGGAAAAATCTGGCTAAACTAAATGAATTCCAGGGTGGTGCCCCATTCCCCAGCTGACTTTAGGGCCATTTGGTGATATCTGTCACCATTTGGGATAGATTGAGGTGTTAGATCCACAAACCACTCTGGCTTCATATGCTGACAAATTCTTTGTTACAAGTTGCTCTGGGTCTCCTGAGCCTGGTTGTATGGAGAGACGGGTTTCATCCTCCCCTTCAGCAAATGAGAGGAAGGGTTTCAGGTTGGCCTAGTTAGGATGGCCTAGGGCGAGTGTGGAGAAACAGTCCAAGTCCTAGACATTCTACCAGCCAGATGAAGTTAACATGACTCACAGAATCTTCTAGTGCCCAGTCAAGTACCACTGACCCAAAAAGAAGTCAAAGTCTTGTGACTGAGCAAAGATTTTGGTTTAAGCCAAACTGACATCACACACACACACACACACACACACACACACCCCTCCACACTTTTGTCTGTATGCTCTGAAAAGTCCTCAATAGACTATAATCATCAGACTATCAAAGAGACCCAGCTGACCTCCCTGTCCACCACCAGTTCCCCTTGTTTGAGCCGATCGGGATCAAGTGGGTAGGCAGATAAAGGAATGGTGGGACCAACTTGGAAAGGACCTAGCATGGCGATTCTTTCCAATTCTACATCCCTGAGGGTAGTAGGTATATATCATGGATCCACCACCCAGGTCAATAAAGCGGAAGCTGAGGACACTGCCTCCAAATGAACTGTCTCCTGAACTATGGACTCATTAAAATTAAGGTTTCATCTGGCTGTTCTGGGCCCTTTCCCTCCCTGCCCGTCCAACCTCCTCCTTAGCCTTGTGTTTTGCCCTGTGGGTATAAGTATAGGGTCATGGTCCAACCCCCACTGTCCTCAGGCCTGGACCAGGGAACTGATACCTGGGAGGTATTAGTTAGCATGAGTACAGCAGACCAGCAACCTGTACTCCACCTTGATCTTTGCTCACTGATGCCCGCTTCAAGTATCTGGTTGAATCGGAGAAAGGGAAGCTGTGGGAGCTCAGTTTTTGATATAGGAGGAATACACAGTTTACAGTTCTGTGCGTCCCCTCTGCCTGGGCACCCTAGTTGCCAATAACAAGGGAGTTCCCATTGCAAAGAGTGGAGTTATGAAACAGAGCCCACATGAATGAAAACGTGTATGGAAGGAAAGAAAGGCCCTCCCAAGGCATATACAATAGGAAAATGCAATTCAATGGCCATAAAATTAGAAGTCTGGAAATGCCTTAAGAAACATTCTGACCTTAGCCAGGCAGTGGTGGCGCATGCCTTTAATCCCAGCACTTGGGAGGCAGAGGCAGGTGGATTTCTGAGTTCCAGGCCAGCCTGGTCTTCAGAGTGAGTGCCAGGACAGCCAGGGCTACACAGAGAAACCCTGTCTCGGGGAAAAAAAAAGAAAGAAAGAAACATTCTGACCTATGGGAAACAGAGAACTTGGAGAATCAGATTCTATCTATACCACAGAA